AGTACATCCGAGATAATACTGTAGAAGTTGTAGAGAAGATAAAGAGTAGAGAGCAAACCAAAGAACAGAGAGGCTGAGCAGAGAGGCTAAGCAAAGAGGCTGAGGAAACTCCAAGACACTCGAATGGGTTGAGCTCCTCCCCTTATATATATATATATATATATATGGAAATCTTGAAAATAAAAATTAATTTATTTGATAAAAAATAACATCGTTATACATTTTGGATTTTCTTTTTGCAGTAGGCCTCGGTAACTTCTTGTAAAAAGTACAACCTCATGAATGAAGAATTAGTGGCTTTAAAAGAAAGTGAAAGAAAATGGTTGTAAAATTGCATAATTAATCTATAAACCACATAATTAGTGTCAAATCACATATCAATCTGATATTGGTCTATTTGAAATATTGGCAAAAAAATTTCATTAATTAAGTATAGAATATTTTTACAGTATGATTAATTAAAAACAATGAGTACATAGTTTCCTTTCAAAAAAGAATTTCCCATTTTACCCTTTTGATGATTTCATGGTTTCCAAGGAATTTAATAGGTAAAAGGAATGAATGAAGAATCAGTGGCTTTAAAAGGAAGAGAAAGAAAGTGGTGAAAAAATTGCATAATTATGACACAATATAATCAATAAACTACATAATTAGTGTCAAATCACATATCAATATGATATTGGTCTCTTTGAAATATTGGCAAAAAAATTTAATTCATTAATTATAGAATATTTTTACAGTATGATTATTTAAAAACAATGAGTACATAGTTTCCTTGTAAAAAAGAATTTTCGATTTTACCATTTTGAGGATTTCGTGGTTTCCAAAGAATTTAATAAGCATTCCAATTGTAACTATTGAGCACTATTTTTCCATTTCCAAAACGCATAGGAGATTTTAGTAAGATTTCTAAGATAAGGAGAATGCATATAGAGTGATTTTTCAAAGTATTTGGTATTAGGGTTTTTTCTTGGAGCGTATAAAGAGAAACTCTAGAGAGAGAAAATCAGTAGTCTTAAAAGGGTGAGGTTTCTTTAAGGTTGCAATCTTAAACAATTCAATTAAGGCGCACCTCCAAAAAATTTTGTAACTTGTAATTTCGGTGTAAAAAATTCTTAGGATTATCTCAAAATCTATTTTTATATTTAATTATATACTTTTAAACTTAAAAATGGTCAAAATCAAGTAAATCTATAAATATATGAAAATCTTGAAAATGGACGGTCTAGATAATGTGTTGCAAGATGCATTATTTATGGGACTCAAAATCTTTTTTCTTTTCATATTCATATATCTCGATGTCCAGATGATCAATTAGAGGGTTTTTCAATATTAAAACAACATTATTCGATGGATTTTTGAGATGCATATGTAATTCTACATTGTAAGGTTGCAACTTTATATAAACTTTTTTGTTTTAAAACACAAAATAGTAGTACATAGAGGAAAAAAAGACAAAAGAGAATAAAACACGGAATAGAAGTACATGTACATGGAGAAAAAAGGGATATATAGAGCGAAGAAAGCAAACATAGAGAGGGCGAGAGAAAACTAAAGAGAAGCAGTCTTAAATCCTTACTCAAACGGTGTGTTTGATTGTTGGAAGGTAAACATTCTTTGGAAACTAGAAATTCTTTCTTAGGAATTGGTAGTTATTTTTTTGAAATGTTAAGGAAGCTCTAAATACATAGATTTGATAACCTAATGGAATGTTAATAAAGTTTTGAGTACAAGGGAGTAAACATAGAACCCTAAGTTGCATTTAATTGTGGAAATTAATTGTTTCTTTAGTCGTTGATTCATGCATGGAGCAAGAATAGGCAGATCCCCATTGGCCCATGCCTTTCAATGGCATGAATTTACTTCATGTATTTTCTTGCCTTTCTCTCTCTTCTCCACCAAAGAATCTAGAGCAATGTATTTGACAAGATTCTGGTGAGATTCAAAGAATCTAGAGCAATGTATTTGACAAGATTCTGGTGTTTGACAAGATTCTGGTGAGATTCAAGCGAGAAATCGAACCACATCGGTTCTTTTTTTTCTTTCTTCCTCTTTTTAGACAGTTTAATATTTAGTTCGAATATGCAAAAAATAAATGGAAAAAATGCACTCCTTTTTTGGTTCACGCTTTACTTTTCAACGAGATTCTGATATGATTCTAGCAAGATTATGTATTTTATTTTATGCTTGTAACCTTTTTAAGAATTAAGTTTGGTAAATGCGTAAAAGAAAAAATAGAAAATGGAAAGAAAAGAAAAAAAAAATGCAATACTGAAAAACTAAAAAACAAATAAAAGAAAAATATTTCTATAATCCCCAATTTGATATATTATTTTCTTATAGACCATCAAATTTGATGTTTATCTGGTTGCAATAACTTTTCTAAAAATCTATCTTCCAACTCCCTGGCCCTTATTAACTGAAACATTTTGCTTTTTGTAACCTTTTTTGCCCTAAACATTTTGGTTCTCAATGAATCTCTCTCTCTCTCCTACTGGTTTTCAAAGAATCTCTCTCTCCATCTCTCTATCCTCTCCCCCTGGATCGATGGTATCGAAATGAAGTGGAGCAATAGAGGAGTAGACGCTGGCTCAAGGACTGCAACCAGCGGCAATGTCTCATCCACCTGTACCACCCACCGCAAGACAATCAGGAGGTTGAGAATCAGGGTCCTCTGCATCCTCATGAATGAAATCATCCTCATGATACACATTCTCCTCCACAACCAGCTACTCATCCTCATGATCATCAACCATCATGATTGCGAAGGGTTCAATACTCAAAAGGGTCAAAATCAGGGCGGCGAGAGACTTTGGGTCTATTTGCAGCAATCCGATGGCTCAATGGATACATATTTGCAAGAAAGGCGAGGAGCACTTTAGCTAGAGTCTGAGACTCTCTATGGCAGCCCACCACCACCAACGCTAAGAAAATGGAGAACGATCTGCACCACCGACCTTTCAACTTCTCAATTGTAGCAAAAAATACAACTTTCGTTTTTGGAAGAATGGGAAGAGGCGCGTGCTGATGGCCTGAAGCTGCCCGCCACCTCCAGTTGATCCACGTCAATCTCCGTTTCCGAGGAAACAAGTGGCCTCATCTTCTTATTAGAAATCACTCTCAAACTTGTGCATGCACCCGCGAGATCAGCTTGAACGTTCTTGTTGATCATATGTACCTCCTTAGAAAGCGCTGGGTCTTCCTTGAAACGGACCCACAGGTATCCATCGGTTTTTTATTTTTAAATTTTGAATCCTTCCGCCATTTGCGATGGACGGTTTCACCGTCCGATTAGCTGCCGGAAGAAACCTTCCCTCAACGATTTTTTAGAAATTTGTCATTGCTTTTCCGGCGGGACACCACCTTCCAATCTTCTTGAGCATGCATGTTGGGGGGCACAAGAATCGAGAGCCTTTGGAATTGTTCAGGAAAAATCAAAATAGTGAAGTAGTCATGTCCCACCGCAAGCATGACAACTTTAGGAAGAGCGACCCCACTCAATTTTCATATACGAGCTCTGACCCCAGGAAAGTCTGGTCCAGCAAAGAAATCCTTATCCATATCACAAAATTTCCCACAACAGTTTGTTATTAAACGAATATTGGCCAATGTTCAAGCATGAAAAGGAATGCCTTGGAGATAGATCCAAAGACTTTCTTTAAGCATATACGACGAGTGGGAGGAAGGTTTCCATACATTTGGAGAGATAAGAGTCTTCCCCTAATACAAACAAAGCGATTAACTAAAGCATAAGCAACATCTTCCTTGGATCGAAGCAAGAAGACGATCTTATTTTCTCCAAGAATCTTAACTTTTGGAGCATAAGAGAGGTTCCAATCCCTTCTTGCCCAATCACTCAAACAAAAAATGTCAATCGAGCAAGAAGAAAAGGATTCCACTATTGGGAATGGAGCATCCTCAAAGAAATCAGAACCCAAATCAAACTTTACCTTAATCACGTCCACCTTCGCTCCAGCTCCATCCACCTTCTTCGTATCCTCCACTTCCATTAACATTCCTAAATGATACTAACTAAAACATTCAAGATTTGAACCCATGATCTCAAGACTCTCGTTCTGTCTGTGCAGATTTTTGGTGATTTCTATTTATTTTAGCTATTTTTGTTCAAAAACATGTGATACAATAAATTAATTTAAAAAACAAAAAAGAAAAAAGAACAATCCCTATATTTACAAGTCGTAATGGAGATTATAAAAATCAAACTAAAAAAAATCTAGAGTTAGAGAGATCCATTTTATTGCAATAAGTTGTATTTTAAACTTCATTTTGAATATCAAATAAAGGTAGTGGTCAACAAATGCTCAAGCATGAAATTTATAAATTTTCAATGAAATAGTGAAAATCTACATTGTCATACCCCTAATTTCACTACACCTATTGATCCATGAAATAAAAGGGTATTAAACTAGTAAAGGATTTTTGAAGGCATGTGGAAATAGAAGGGGATTCCATGAATATTGTGAAATGGTTAAACAAGAAAGCGAAATATGCATGGAAATTTCATAACTTTACTGATTGCATGGAGTTAGAATGTACTGTTGGACATATCTATCGAGAAAGCAATATGGAGGCAGATGGACTTGCAAAGCTAAGGGCGGTCAATAATCAGATTATTAAAAAGTTTGAGTAACTGGTGTTTGTAGTTTTTTTCGTTTGCTTTTTGCTTTTCATTGAGTAGCTGGTGTTTGTAGTTTTCTTCGTTTGCTTTTTGCTTTTCATTATGTATTTTTGTGTGCAGTGTGTTTTGAAAAATTATCTTGTATTGTTGACTAATTTGAATATATAAAACATACAATCTTTCATAAAAAGAAAATTACTCAAACATAAGAAAACTAGATTTATAAAAAATTTAAGTCATTGTTTAAAAATCTTTTAAACCAAAATTGATTGATCGGGCCGATTCTCCAATCCAGATCATTGATACACCGATTCAACACCAATTTTAGGTTGGCCAATCCAAGTCCGACCGACTCGATCCGTTTTTTTAAACCTTAGTTTTCTTTATAGAACAGCGGAGGCCGAAACGGGCATGCTTCTTTAGAACAATTCCAACCCAGACCAGCGGAGAATAGCCGCGACCCTTTTTCTCTTCAATTTCAGTTGCAGAGGAGTGGGGGCGGATTGATCCATTGATTGTAGCACCATGGCGGAACCGAAGAGCAAATACGATCGTCAGCTCAGGTTCGCCTCCCCTCCCTCTTACTTTTTTTACTGAGTCATTCTCTATGCGCACTATCACTAACCAAGCATGTCGCTTCCCTTTATCTTTAGGGTTCTTCTCATTCTCCTTCCGAGGTCTTTTTTTGTAATAGATGTGCACTACCTGTTATTTGCTGAAGTAATTCCTCGGCTATGTTTTCTACTTTTTTGCTTATTCTTTTTTCTTTTTCCTGTATTGGCTATTGAGTGTTGTGTAACGGATTCTATGCTCGGAATGTGCAAAATCATGGAATTTTTTTACCCCTTTCTCTTTCAGTTTTGTGTGTGTCTTGAGATATTTCTGTTTATTTCCCCATTTAATTCTCATTTTATTGTTCTCAATTACCGAGATGGTTTGTTGCTCACAGATGTTGCATTATGTTCTTAGTGACTCTACTTTATATGGGCAGAAAGATTGATTGTGGAGCACTAGGTCAAGTTAAATTTCCTTGCAAATGTTCAAAATGAAAACTTTTGTTTCAGTATAGCAGGTCTGTTGGAATTAGAAAGTAACTGGAACCTTCAAATTTTATGTTCATTCCAATATTGGTGATTTTAAATGTGATGAGTTTTGGATATGTGGAGTATTAGGTTTTCCATTTTTTTGGTTTTGATTTTTGGATATTTTTCTTGACAGCTATCTACTTTTGAATTCTTTTAAATGGAGGGAGTTCGGTCCTATGATGTGCTATTCCTTTGTTATTTTACTGCAGCTTCATTTGGAAAATTTCAAGCTTGTTTATGTAATGTGCTCTCCATTCCTTTCTTTTCTTTTCAAGACTATTAGTTGGTAAATTCGCTACTAAACTTGTGAATTTGTTCAAGCCTTTTTTCACTGATCTTTGCTGTGCAAATTCAATAAAAAAACCTTAACCTATAAAGATTATTTAATTTGGCTGATGCAAAATTTGGCTTTTGATTGAGCTGCTTCTGATGTTCTTTCTAGTTGCTTGATCTAAAGACTGTCTTTCAGGCTTTTGCTAGAAGTTCTTTTTTTCACATTGGGGTTATTTTTGCTATGTCCAGGATTTGGGGAGAGCAGGGACAGGAAGCCCTTGAGAAAGCTAGTATTTGTTTGCTTAATTGTGGACCGACTGGATCTGAAACATTGAAAAATCTTGTTCTTGGCGGAATAGGCAGTATCACCGTTATTGATGGATCTAAAGTTGAGGAAGGCGATATGGGGAATAATTTTATGGGCAAGCTATTATTTTTTATGCATTTTTTGTTATTTTATTAAGTTCAAATTTATTCTTTAAACTATTAAAGGTAACAATAAGAAACGATCTCTTTTGAACTTTGTTTTCATGTTGTAATGCACAGTGGATTTGCAGAGCATTGCACAATCAAAAGCAAAGTGCGTATGTGCCTTTCTGCAAGAATTAAATGATTCTGTCAGAGCCAAGTTTGTGGAGGAGTCTCCTGAGGCACTGATCGATACAAACCCTGCCTTCTTTCAGCAGTTTACTTTGGTGATTGCAACCCAGGTACTTCATCTATGTTGTATGATCATGTGCTCAAATCATCAATACTTTATGGATGTTCATTGACATCAATTGCTTTTTGCCTATTCATGTTATATTTTTGAGTATCTTCATATGCAGCTTGGGTTTCTTTTATGAGGCACACTATTTAAGCATTTGTGTTTTGGGAATAATGTTATGGATTTGAGCACCTGTTCAACACTCTTTATGCTAGTAACTGGGCTGCTTCTCTATTTTCTACAAAAGCATGAGCATGTATAGATTGAATACTAGTGGATTATGAATTTTTTCTCATAAGTTGTTGACCATGTTGTATATGTTTGCATTAAATGGTTTTATTAGTGCTAAAATAGTTAACATAGGCTCGAAATTTGTTTGTTTGGAGGTATTGTCTCCAAATGGAGGATTATATTGTACTGTAGTGTTCTTCAATGTTTATGACGAGCATTTGTTTTGGGAGTTCTTTGACAGTCAGCCCAATAATGGAGCAAGCTGGTCTTGCGTGTTTAACATATCTTGGGTGTGGTAGCCTGATACTTTTTTAATCTGTATGGATTTATAGGAGATCATGATGGAACTGACATCTCCTCTTTCATATACTTCCAACTGTCTAGCCACTATGGACTGGGATAAATTATAGCATTCTGGAGGGCTTGATTGCCATGCCGAGGAAGTGTTTGGCAATATTAAAAGGGATTTAATGACATGAATTGATAGAAGCATTATGGATAGTAGCAAGCTAGCAGATGTGGAAATTCTTGGCTATTGAATTCAGAGTGTCTGGTTTCAAACTGGGCGTGTTGTAGAATGATGTCTACTTCCTGTGTTTGCAGGGAGCTTAATTTTGATGTTTTCATTAGAGGGATTCTTGGCCTTTTGAATTTTTGGCCATTATTCCCTTGTCAGTGAAGATTGCGTAACGTTTGCTGGGATTATTAACTTGTTTTGTTTGCTTAGTGTGTGTAATTCAAGTGGTTAAAGGGGCTCTGACCATGGTGAACGGTCTGCCTAATCTCTAGGTGGCCATGGATGACTTCGATGTCTTTGTTCTTTTACCATCTTGACTAGTCCAGTAATATTAAAATATGTTTTTTTGATATTACTAGAATAATTGTTTCTTATAGAATGCGATTTTCTTTTAGTACTTTGCTACTTGTAATTCAATTATCTACATTACATCAGCAAGAGGTTTTCTGTATTTGGTTATGATACTTTTTGCACAGTTTTTTAATAGAATTCATATCTCTTAGTAGTCAGATGGGGGAATAATTTTGTTTATCCACGTTTCTTTGACATTGGCGTGGTATTGATATGTTTTGCAGCTGCTTGAAAATTCAATCTTAAAACTGGATAAAATATGTCGGCAATACAATATTATGTTGATAGTTGCACGAAGTTATGGTCTCACTGGACTTGTGCGGATTAGCATCAAGGTAATGTGATGTAAGTATTTAGCGGGCTCGTTTTACTCTGTAATATATGTAGAACTATTAGAAATGCATTATAGACATGTTAGGCCTTTAATTCAAGCTGGATTTACGTTGACTTGCATATTTCAGGAACATGATGTGGTTGATACGAAACCTGATCATTTCCTGGATGACCTTCGACTCAACAATCCATGGCCTGAACTCAAGCAGTATGATTCTCCTTGAATATTTTTTTTATCTTCCTGGAAATGACAAATGCTAAGGATTCATGTCTAAATATTTAGTCTTGAGCTCAGTTACCTTCTTTATTAAGTCATCACAAAGGCTTTTTTTTTTAGGTTTGCAGAAAGTATTGATCTTTACACAACAGATCCAGTCGTCCATAAGCACACACCTTATGTGGTTATCCTTGTAAAAATTGTAGAGGAGTGGGCCAGTGCTCATGGTGGCAAGTTTCCTTCTACTAGGGAAGAGAAAAGGGAGTTCAAGGTTCGCTTGGATTGTATCTCTGTCCAATATTTCTTATGTTCTTGTTCTATTGCAAGCCTCTTAATGTGTGCCTCTTGCTTCCTGCTTTTCTGGCCAGGAGCTTTTGAAATCCAAGATGATTTCATTGGATGAAGATAACTATAAAGAGGCAATGGAAGCCTCATTTAAAGTCTCTCTTCCTTGTGGAATAAGTATGTTCACTCTCTAATGAGATGGCCTGTTATATTATTTGGAATTTATTGTTAACACTATTGACATTTTTGTGTAAGTTAATGTGTTGGCTGGTGCACCCTTTTGTGTTGTATTTGAATTAGCCGGTTAAGAGTACTTTATTCACGTTATACCATTAATGATAGAACTTGCAATCATTGTGATGGAAGGTTAACAGAGCTCAAACAAGTAAGGCTGACAGAGCCATTCTTATAGTGGGTTATGTGCATGTTGTCGCCTTATGGCTTCCTTGAATTATGCTTCTATTAACATGGATAATTATACCATAAATAGAGATTTTTAAGTGAAATCAAAGAATGCTAAAGTTGTATAACTGTTGACTACTAATAAAATATTGTCTTGCTTGTGGATAAGATTTGATGCATTTGATCCACTATGGAGTAGGGGTTATGGATGTGTCCTAGACAAATTTTAAGTCAAAAGAATAGACTGGTGTTCTACTGTTTATTTAAGGAACTCCTTTGTTCATATTTGTCTTTTTTCGATATATTTGAAGTCTACATTGTGCCTTTGAGGATATTGCCTGGATGTGGTCAATATAGTTGGGGGCTGGATTGGGTTGGATCAACTGTGCAATACCCCTCTAATATGTATGCTCACATGTACCTTATTAGATTAGGTTTTTAAGATGTGGCATGTGGCCCGATGCATTGGGTGGGGCCGATGCAGCTCGATGCGGTCCAGATGTGGGTGCATTATCCTGATGCAGTCAATGAATATAACAAAATTTTAAAAAATCTAAAAATAAAGGTTAATGCATAAGAAAAAATATGTATGTGATTTATGTGATAATATGTATGTGATTTATGTGATAGTAGGTATATAATTTATTCATTAACTTTAAAAGTATCAGCTGTTGGAGATTTTGTATCCACTATCCCCTGATAGATCATGGAAGACATTAAAAAATAGAAACTTGAAACTTCGCTAAAACTTCCCCAAATCAACTCCCAAAATAAACAAATCAACTACCAAAGAATATCCAAGACGAAAATCCAAGAATTTCGAAAAATAAATTTCTGCCACCTTTTATTTATTTTTTGATCGATTTGATCCCCTAAAGGGCACGGATGTGGCTGGTTTTGGTGGTAGGGGGTTTAATACCCTCCAAACCCTTTCCCCCCTTTTTAGGGCTTAAAAAGGCCAAAATACCCCTTTTCGAGGGGATACTTTTCATTTCACATGCGGGCCGCATATGCGCCTTATGCAGGCTATGCGCTTTGCAGCTGCATATGCGGTAGGATGCGGTGCATCAGGCGATGCGGTTGCCAGCGCATCGCGCATGATGCGGCGATGCGATCGCATTTTAAATTTTAGATATATGTGTTTCTGTATGCGTGTGTGTGTGAAGTTTGAATAACACCATCTCTCATACTTGGTAAATAGCATATGAGATTCAACCTATGAAACATGGACAGGTGTGTTGAAACCTAAAGTAATGGATACGAGATGGCCAATGAGTGTCCAATGCCATGTTCATCTTTTTGAGAAACTTTCTGCTTGGGATTGTGAGATTTCTTTTTTTTGAAATGTCATTCTTCATGAAATTTTTTATTTTTTAGTTGGGGTTTACTTAAATCATTCTTCATATAAATAAAGTTTCCTTCTTCTTACATCTGGTAGAAAGCTTGGGTTTCTCTCTCTCTCTCTCTCTCTCTCTCTCTCTCTGTCTCTCTCTCTCTTTCTTCCTCCCTCCCTCCCTCCCCCCACCTCCCTCCCCCGCCCTTCTCAAGTTGCGAATCTCCATCTCGGTTCTTCTTGAACTCTCCCCTTCTTCCCTTCATCCCCTCTTGCCGTGTAAGGTACATTTGTATGTTCAAACCATATTGTTTTTCTTCTTTTGTAATCGAGAGCTCATTGTTTTAGGAAAATCTAATAATCGTTCTCTTAGTAATAAGCTTCACTCCCACTTTAATCCATGCTCCAATGATGGTATCGTATGATATTAAAGAGTCCTACTGTAACACTTGATTTTTATTGTTTGATTAGTCTATTTAACAAAGGAATGGGACCTTGTTTACACATCCTAGGATAAATTAACACTATCTTATGGGCCAATTATTTGCCAATAATTGTCTCGAGTATGCATGGGACCTTTTTTACACAGCCTAGGATAAATTGACAATATCTTAGGGGCCAATTATTTGCCTATAATTGTCCCGAGTATATGATTGTTCTATTTGTTGTACACTTTTTAGTGGCATTTACTATATTTTTCTATTTTTTTAATCTAAGCGTAACTTTGTTTGCCATTTATAGCATGTATAGTCTGTCTTAGTTTTTTAACATACTTTTTTTGGCAATTTTGTAGTACTTGAATTGTCATTGTAAAAGTTTTCAGTTTTAAAAAATAAATTCAATTGTCTTGATGGTTCGTGGTTCTTGCGTCTTTTGTGGTTCGTGGTTCTTGAGTCTTTTGTCTTGATTTTTTGATGTATGTTATTTGGATTGCTTGTGGTATTTATTAGCTTTGTCTTGATATGTTTCGGATTGCTGGTGGTGTTTACTAGCTTTGTCTTGATAAAAGGTTAATCAGCTAAAAAACTCGAAATTAGAAAAAAGGTTAAATATATGTATCTATATACATTGCACATACACATAAACCCACATATTGTACAGACATGTCATGTCTAGGTGGCAAGTTTTTGGTTGACATTTCTAACATTAGCATCCATGTCGCAAATGGACACGTATGCGTTCCAATGTAACATAGGAATCAATAGAACAATTATAACTTGAGATTTTAAGTCCCCCATGCTAGAGTCTATTGAGTTTCTCTTTTCTTTTTAATGAGATTGAAGAAGCCCTTAATTTAAGTTATGTCTGATTCGCAGGCCCTCAGCTTCATCAAATTGTTAATGATAGCTCTGTGGAAATTGATTCTTCTTCATATAATTTTTGGGTGCTTGTGGCAGCTTTGAAGGTGAGATCATTTAAGCACTGTGCTGCCAAAACTTTTACTTCTCAAATTTGCTCTTTCCAAGATAATCCTTGTGACAAAAACAATATGGCAATTATAACAAGGGAGTATAGCATGTATTTACCAAGAGTTATTGTTATTGTTTTATTTTTATTTTGGAGCTTTGACAAACTTTATATTTTCCAAGACTATAACTGTTATGTTCCCTTTCTGATTTTGACCCATCTGGAAGGATAGAAAGCACATGGTGCAAGTGGATATTCTCTGACGTCTCAAGCGTTTATCTATTTGTCTACATGGCCATTTATTCAGAAGTCCGAAGTTGGTGTATAATTAATTACCAGAAGTACCTATTGAGGAGGGATGGCAATGGTGAAATAATACATTTTCCATTCTGAAGGGTATACAAAAGTAGCTAATAAACCCTAGTCTTGGGAATGGGAATTCCACCAATGAATCGGTGTCTATAACAGACTTAAATAGGTTAACTAGATGCTTGGCCTTATTCATATGAAGTCCTTGTCTTCCATCATTCATTGTCATTGGAAGTCATCCTAAGCACCGGGTAGAGTGTTGTTGATTGTGTGAAGTGGCAATTGAGCCCTTTTAGAGATGCACAATACTATGGATATTTTGTGAGTTCTTATGTTATTATTTATTTTTTTATTTATTATGCACAGGATGGGAAGGGATAGAATTGGTAATGAACACATTTGGGAGAATTTAGGTGTGGCGCCAATAGGTAATAAGATAAGAGAAAATACACTTAGATGGGTTGGCCATGTGTGGCGCAGACCCAGTAGAACACATGTTAGGAGGTGTTAGTTAGTTCAAGTGGAATGCTCAAAAAGGGCAGGGGGTAGGCCCAAAAAAGGACATGGTTGGAATTAGAGAGAAAAGATATGGGGAATTATGGCTTTACTGAGGGTATGACCCTTAATAGAGCAGAATAGTGGACCAAGATTCCTGTAGCTGAGCCTAACTAGTTGAAAAAAGGCTCTGACGATGATCATGATGATGAATCTTATAAAATAATGCAGCATATAAATGGGGCTTTATACTCCATAACATATATGATTGCAGAAAATCCACACCTAGTTCTGGTAATTCTTTTTCGGGTTCAACCTTTTGGAGTTTGGGTGCTTATGCTGTTTATAAGGACTAGCAGTATATGAGCACCGAGAGAGAGAGAGAGAGGAAAAAAAGAAGGAAAAAGGGTGGGGGGTTGTGATTTGCATTGAGAGTTTGGTATATGCCAAGTTTGCTGTTGCACTGCCACCATAAAATATGAATACCAATGAAACTTCATTGAATTTATTTGAATTTTCCATGTGACTTATACCAATTAATATGAAAACCAATAGTAAATGAATACCAAGTGTGAGACAGGTAAGACTTAGGATTGATCCATCTAAATAAAATAACATATTTGTGCTCCTCTTGTTATTCTGTGAGCATTTATTATGGAAAGGGCCAACCAGCTGGTAGCCAATTTTTTGGGTTTTTTTGAAATGAATTCTATTCTTAAATGTAGGTGTCTGAGTTATATAATATGCAGTTATTTGGGATGGCTCAGAAACTTAATTGTTGTAAGGACTGCTTGTGTTTGGGAATTGATCTGTTTAATGTCAGAATTCCTCTTTGATTTGTACTCAACTTTTCAATCTCCTCCTTGAATAGAAAGGTGTCTACATGCTTCATCATTTTGAACAATCTTTTTCCATGTCCAATGGTTTGCTTGTTTAAGGAAGGACATGTTTATGATTGATCAACAACTTCCTTATATACTTATATTTTCGTGAAATGACATCTCAACTTTTAATCTATAGTTATTTATCATATGCATGGTAATTGATGTCCCTTTTGGAGGCACTGCTCTTGTTTCAGTTATATTGATCCGTCTTTCTTCTTTCTGCTTGCTGACTATTCAATAAGCAACTTCCTATGATTGTTTTCACTATACTTTGCCATGAAGTCGAGTTATCTCAAGCTGAAATTTGAAGATAGTAATAATTTTTCTTTATTTTTTTGCTATATATGATGCTACAAAATTGTGTTCCTAAATCCTTTTTATTTGATTTTGCTCAGGAGTTCATTGAGAATGAAGGTGGCGGGGAGCCACCACTTGAGGGATCAATTCCAGACATGACATCGTTGACTGAGTTGAGTGACTGACTTTATGCCTTAAGTTTATACTTTCTTTTCTTTGGATGATAAATTAGTAATAAGACTTGGTGCCACTTTGTTGTATTTCTGACTATTACTGGTTTATTCATGTGCATTCCTCTCCAGGTATTATATAAGTTTGCAAAAGATTTATCAATCTAAGGCAGATGCTGATTTCCTTGCCATAGAGCAACATGTGAAGGGCATTCTAAAGCGTATTGGTAGAGATCCAGACACAATCTTAAAGACAACTATAAAGAACTTCTGTAAAAATGCCAGAAAACTCATGGTGAGTCATATCATTTCTTGCTACATGGATTGAAACAATTGTGTTCATTCTTCTTATGAATGGTTGCTTTACTCTAAAATGTGGTTTTCTTAATTCTGCTACATGTCATTTTGAGAGATCCAATAAGCCCTTTAGTATCTTTGTGCTTGTATGTGGGTGCGCATGCGCTTGTATGAGTGTGTCTGCATGTGGGTGTGGGTGTGTGTGTGTGCACACGCGCTTGTATGAGTGTGCGTCTGCATGTGGGTGTGGGTGTGTGTGTGTGTGTGGGTGTGGCTCGGTGAGAAATAGTTGTACAGTATGATAGAATAGGAAGTGCTATATCATTCTTTGTAAGAATTTTGTAGTGGTCATCCATGAGGGAGTATGGTGGTCATTCATAAGGGAGTATGGTGGTCATCCATAAGGGAGTAGGTTTTGGATCACTGTAACCTTCTATTGTTCAAGCACTCCAAATTGCTGATCATATTGAACTACATTCTTAGCTACAGGCATATGAATGTGCATGTTTGGGTTTGCATGGATCCATTCATTCTTGCTTTTATTCTCAATGCCAAGGATTACCTTGTCTTTGTGCTTTTCTGGAACCATTGATTGGTTGTATTTGGCTTTGTCTGGATTTCAAAGGCTTTTGCCTTGTACGGCCTGTGGGTACATGACTTCATAACCCTTGGACCTCTAAACCATAGATATTTTTTTTTTTTTTAATCTTGAGGATCATGACATTTTTAATATTCTTTGGGGTATGTAAGGTTTACTCTTCGAGGACCAATTTGGCATTTTTCAAAGGCAAGGACAAAGCATGAGTACTATTATATGTTGGGTCAATTTGAAAGGCAAAAGAAAGGAAATAAGAATAAGAAGGGATCTTTTCCTTTCAAGATAGAGACTAGAGGAACCAATTCCTATCCTCCCCTCTGAAAAATATTTGATTTACCCTTTTGGAGACTGAAAGAATCATGGATCATTGTAGCTGTATCCAAATCTCAGGTGACCTTTAAACCATCTATATGAGGGTTGTTGTTCTCATTGGGCATAGGAGAACTGGGATTTTGATGAAGGAAATATTGGGACCTCTCTCTCTCTCT